TCCCAACCCTCTGAATGAGGGCCTCAGCCTCCCCGGTGGTGATGGGGGGGTGCCGACCTCCGGTGGCGCTGTTCTCCCCCTGTTGGGGAACTCCAGTACCTACGTTGGCGTTGCTACGTGTTTGCACCATCGTCGTTGTGGAGGATTTCTTCCGAGTATGATTCTCGAACTCTCAATGAGAGCACCAATTTGATGGACAATAAATCCACCAAATGATCCGATTTACAGAGCGGATCGCAAGAACAAAATTAAGAACAAGAATTCGAGAATTGGATGTGTATTACTAGCTTGATCTAGCCTTTTTCTCCCCTTTCGGGTCCCTTCTATTTATACACGAGCTCTCAACAATTAAGGTGAAGCGTAACCGATGGAGTTTAGCCCGCCAAGGGCGCGATCCCCTTTTTCCGGCTCCGTAACGACCAATCAGCTCCGTCTCCTTCTCCGGACTGACTCTGCCAGCTGCGCTTGGCCTGAGGTTAACTAGGCCCAGCTCCTTGGGCCGGCCCAGCTTGAGTATTCCACAGGTGCTTGACCCGAAGCTGTTTAAATGGTTCATTTAGGCCGTCCTCTGGATATCGGCCCATCAATTATTATTATTATTATTATTATTATTATTATTATTATTATTATTATTATTATTCCATACGTTCAATGAAATCTTTTCTATTTTTTTATATCAGTCCTAAAATAATTTTTTGACTTTTCATTTTTAGAAAGAATGTATGACACAAAATATTTCTCTTTCTTCTAGATAAATTTTAATGATTTTCTTTCGCAATTTAATACTTCCTTCATTCTAAACTAATCTTTAATTTTTGTTTATTATACCAAGCATCTCGATAACTTATATTTGTATGCTTGTTTCATTAATAATTTGATAAAATAAAATATTATCACATTTTGTTTTGCAGGATATTTGATATAGATTTGAATAGTGTAATTTGTACTTTTTATTTATATTCTAATTTAAGAATATGATTATTTCTATTAAACAAGATCTAGCACGTGTTCAAAATGAGAGGAATAAAATGTGACGGAATGAGTAATTTTAATTTACGTAAACTCAAATGAACAAATTAATTTTTTTTAAAAATTATTTATGTATTACTTTTATGTGCCACAATTGATTACATTTTTTTATAATTCCAACCTCTTGATAACTTTTACTCCGTATTTATTTATGTGTCTTTATAATAATTTGATAAAATACCATTTTTTGCCATATCTCATTTTGTAGAACTTTAAGCGTAACTTTTTTAATATATACTGTAACTTTTATTTTGCTTTTTTTTTTTATCAATTTTATCTTTTTGAATAAAATAATTTTAATATATACAAGATTTTTTTGAAAGAAATATATACAAGATTTTTGATGTTTTCTTTTGTAATTGTAAAATGAATAAATTTCCAAAATGGTCCTTTGTATTAATGTATTTTTCCAATACAGTCATCAATAAGTTCTAATTATTTACGTGGTCCTTTATAATTGATATTTATTCCCTAAGTAATTATTCATAAATAATGTTACTCAAATGATGATTAATTAAAGAAAATTTTAGTGTTTCTATCATCTAAATTTAAAGCAGGTTTTCAAAATGGTAATTTCTATACAATTAAATGTGAAATTAAAATAATACATTGATTTTACATAATCCATGAATTATTAAAAACCTATAAAAAGTAATTTAAAATTTGAATCAAATATACATCTTTTACTAGAAAAAAACCATTTTGAGAAAGTACTTCGTTAGAAATAACCATTTTAAGAACTTATTCTAAATTTAGCTGATAAAAATATCAAAATACTGCTAATTAATCATCATTTGAGTAACATTATTTACGAATGACTATCTAAAAAATGAATCTCAATTATAAAAGATTACGTAACTAATTAAAATTTATTAAAAACTGATTTGAGAAAGAACATTATTAAAGAAGACCCTTTTGGAATTTACCTTTAGTGATGTGAAAAATCTATTGCTGGAGGAGTGAGTATTATTATGACCAGGCTATGCGCTTGTGAGGATCGGAGTGGCTGTAAACACATGCATCTCGATCGCCTCTGTCGGCCGTAACGCTACATTCGTGGCCAAACTTGGGGCATATCATTGATTTCATTGGACCTTAGCTTTAATTTGAAGATATATACTCCTCCGGTTCTCCCTCTTTATCCTAACTTTAGATTTTTCTTTTTTGAACTTTTGAAGTTAATTTTTCTCTTCCTTTCAACAAAAAAAAGCTAGACAGGTGTTATCTATGTCGGTGTAATGGTAGCCATGTAACAGGATCAGAGTTTAGTTCTAACAGAATATTTTCACCGATTTCTAGAGTTGTCTTAGCGCCGAATCACTAGAGACTCGGCTCTTGGCAAGGCGACGATGATAAGAGGCGGGGTACGACATCGATACACAAAATTACATAGACACAACCACGAAGGGAAGTGATAGTTTGTACGGCTGGCTTAGTTTTTTTTTTGTAATTGTAATTAAATTGTTTAGAGAGTGATTTATAAACTTGCTCAGGAGTTTCTTTACGGCTCTTTATTATGTCGCTTTTTTTATCTGTCATGGCATTAAGTGTAATTGATACTTAATGTACTAGTAACAACTATATTTAGACAAATATTTTAACTATTTATGATTCTTTAAATAAAAAATATATCATTCATGTTAGAGTTTATCTTACATCGGAAAGTTGAATAGAAAAGTTATCGATATATAAACTCTTAAGTTTAACTACCTAATCGATTGGATTCAATTTTTTAATGTGGTTCATCCCAAGTGTCTTATAGCCCAATCCAGTTGTCCATACCCATCCTAAATTCTATCATGGTATCAGAGCAGGTTTTGGCCCACCTCGTTTGTCAAGGTGTCCGTCTAGAGGTTTATTCCTAGCAGCCCGTTTGTCTTTAGCCCAGTTGCCCGTATGGAATATGTATCCAACGGCCTGGGGCCCGTTTAACACGATTGCTCGTGTGGATGTCCATACCCAGCAGCTCGTGGTCCTTTAGGTGTTGGCGCTCAAAAAAAAGTCAAAGGAATGGGAGTTCATTTGCAAGTGGTCAACCAGTTAGATTCAAAATGGCCCGGTTGTCACTTGAGGGGGAGTGTTAGAGTGTCATCCCACATCGGAAGTTCAAGAGCAAAATAATGGTATATAAGCTCTTGAGTTAAACTAACTAATCAATTGCATTCAATCTTTTAATGTGGTTCAACCCAAGTGTCTTATTACCCAATCTAGTTATTCTTACCCCATCCTAAAATTCTATCAATTCAAGCTAGAACTGTGACCGTCGGGGCAAGTCTACCGCATTGCAGTACCTGAAGCACCAAATTCAGAACTCGAATCTGATTGAAAGGGTACAATGGCTGGCCTATGTGCACCTAGCATTTTCGGGAAAAAGGTGGACGTGTGGTCACACATAAGGGTGGACAAAAATACCGGCCCGACATTACTCTGAATTGAACCAATATTTTACCGAACTGAAAATATGTTTATGAATGATTCTAGTAAATTATATCTCAAAAGGGAACCAAAGCCTTCTCAAATCAATAAGTTATTCATACATTTTCAGTTTTTATTATAAGTAAGTTTAGGTAATATTTATTTGGTGGGGGAATTTACGTAAATAACACTAAAACATAATGACTTTCTCTAAATAGCACCACATGTATTTTTTTCCCAATGTAGCACTTTTAGTCATTATCCATTAGTCAATTTTCAAGTAAATGTTCGCCATCACTGGACATTATGAACATTATTAAGTACTACTTCTGTCCCACTGTCTTTGTCCACTTTTGACTTTTGGAACTGTTCATCTAAGGACTTTGACTCATCAAATTTTCTCAATGTGTAAGCCTAAATATAGTCATGTGTGATCTTGTTTGATTTGTCTTAACATATAGATTATTAATATATAATTTCTATAATTGTTTAATATACAAATTACAAGATAAAATGGATTAAAGAAGTACATTGAATGGTTTGCCAAAAGGTAAGTGGACAAAGACAGTAGGACGGAGGGAGTGCTATTTACAGAAATGACTTAACTTTTAGTGCTATTTAGTGTAAATATTTCTTATTTGGTGTGACTTTAAGATAGTTAAACTTATATCTTTATAATACTTTACTACCCCGAGGTACAACTCAAATTATAATTTTATTTGTTCAAAAACAAACTATAATTATAACTTCTCAAAAATTGTAACCAAACAATGCACTTGTTGAACAAGAATGCATAAAAATATGAGAAATTTACTTAAATAACACTAAAACATAATGGTTTTCCCTGAATAGCACTACATGTATTTTCTTCCGAATGTAACACTTTTAGTCATTATGCTTTACTGCATTAGTCATTATTCAATCAAATATTTGTCATCACTGGACATTATGGATATTATTAAGTGCTATTTAGGGGAAAAAACAGTTTAAGTGCTACTCCCTCTGTCCACCATAGATCTTCCCAGACACTATTCACAGGGTCAAACTTTACTCACTTTGTTTGCTCAATTTTACTAGTCATTTCATAAAATAATATAGTCTTGTCACCTCTAGTTTTGTAGAACTTTTCATGTAGTTTATTACTATATAAATTTTATTTTAAAATTTTACTCCTATAATCAATTAAATTGAATTGAAAATAAAGTCGGTCAAGCCTCGTAACGCGTAATGGGAAGATCATACATGGACGAAGGAAGTATTTAGATAAATGACTTAAGTTTTAGTACTATTTAGTGCAAATATTTCTAAAGATATTGCTGTACTAATTTTGTAATTCAAAGCATGGAAGTATTATGAAATGATTTGTGCTACTATATCATGGTATGATCTTGTTACTCAACGACATAGTACAAAATGAGTCTAGACCTAAATCTGAAACTGTACAATTATTCAAATACTAGCAATATGAGACGAGTTTTTTAAAAATACCGAATGGTCACGACCTTGTCACACAGTAACAGAAGCGAACGCCCAACGACGCGTCATAGCCTTTATAAAAAGACTTCTTTCCTTCTTTTTTTTTTCATTCACATGGTCGAATGCCAGCTGTTTTCTCCTCTTTTCTCCGTTCCCATTTATTATCTCTGGAAGCTCACCATTTCTGGCTTATCTCGTAATTTCCCGGCGAGTCTAACCGGCGTACTGGGCAATTAGATGTCTTCTTACTGGTGTTACCGGTGTACGAGGTTCGTCAGGGTCTTTGCCGACAACAGCGCGGTGTGTCCTTACTGCGACAGTGGATTCATCGAAGCCGTGGAGTCTGCGCCCGCGTCGCCGGAATCCACCCCGCGACTCCCGACGTGGACCGACAGATCCGAAGACGATCGGATTTCAAGCGGAGGTCCAGGAAGGAGCCGGCGGAATAGGGGAGACAGGTATCTGTTTAATCCGGTTATAGTTCTGCGGAATCCGTCTGAATCTGGACAAGACGAGGGCGAAGATGGGGTAGAACGAAGCTACGAGCTCTTCTACGATGACGGCGAAGGGTCGGGTCTCAGGCCTCTGCCGCCGACCATGTCGGAGTTCTTAATGGGCTCGGGCTTTGACCGTCTGCTAGATCAACTGGCGCAGATCGAGGTTAACGGTTTCGGCCGGCCGGAGAATCCTCCGGCGTCCAAATCGGCAATTGAATCGATGCCGACCATCCAGATCGCACCCGCCCACATAAACTCAGATTCGCACTGCGCCGTTTGCAAAGACGCCTTCGTTCTCGCATCCGAAGCTCGCGAGATGCCCTGCAAACACATATACCATCCAGATTGCATCCTCCCATGGCTGTCAATGCGCAATTCTTGCCCCGTCTGCCGCCACGAGCTGCCCACCGACTCCACCGCCGACGATCCCGCATCCGAACAAGTCAACCACTCCCGAAGCGACGAAGAAGCAGTAGGCTTGACGATCTGGAGGTTGCCGGGCGGGGGTTTCGCGGTGGGGAGATTTTCCGGTGGGAGAAGGGGAGGGGAGAGAGATCTTCCGGTAGTATATACCGAAATGGACGGTGGATTTAACAATGGCGTCCCCAGAAGAATTGCGTGGCGGTCGAGGAGACGAAACAGAAGAAGGGATAATCCCAATGGAATAGCTCGAGTTTTCAACAACTTCATCTCTATTTTCCGGAGATCCAGATCAACTTCCCAGTCAATTTCCATGAACACAACCAGTTCCCAGTCATCCATTTCGGAATCATCATCGATTTCTCGGAGCCGCAGCGTTTCGTCCACATCAGTCTTCAGCAGGTACCTGATGAGGAGGAACAGCAGGAGTCTGATTCAGGAAGAAGATCAAAATGGAATTTCCAGATGGTAATACAAAATTTTCTGCACTAGAAGCAAGAAGAAAAAAAGGTGCATAATTGATAACTGTAGATAGACAATGCAATGTTCTGGATTTGAGAAAAGGAACAAATATTTCTTTTCATTATTTGCTGTAATTGAATCTCGCCATGAAGCTGATCCTTCTTCAAGAAGGTGGTTCACATAAGCAAAGCTGTACTTAGAACAGCTTATGCCCCCCCATTCATTTGAATCAATTTGTTGATTTCTTGTACTGTAATTCCTTTTCTGAAGTTTGAAATGGATGGTAATTTTTCATTTCCCATTCTTGTAATACTCATGAAATTTAATTTAGTCATCAAAAACAACTTTAAATCAGATTAGAACTTAGTTCAATCGGAATCAGGTCAGATATGGCCCAAAAGACTCATTTTTTATCATGTTTTAGCTTCAGTCAAATAATGGATTAACTTAAAAGACACATTAAGGTTCTCTTAATTCTTGGTTTCTATGTGGATTTATTGTTCTTGATGATATGGGGGACATGGGGGGCAAAACATGTATGTAGATAAGAGCTCATTAATCTTCTGCAGAATTGAAAAGCTTTCTAGAGGTTGCCAAACAGTGTCTAAAACATGCAATGCTTTTGAATAATGATGAGGTTTTTTCTTCTTCTTCATTGGTCTGAGCACTTCTGGTCCCACCCACCACACCATGAATGGGTGGGCGGCCTTCCCATGGTGGATGGCGCACTGTGAATTCAAATCATATGATGCTTTCTTTTTTGACAGGTAAAGTCACTAAAAACTTTGGCATTGCATTAAAGGATGAGCCTTTGAAAAAGAAAAGATCAGAAGACTCTCTCTCTGCTGCCTTGCAGGCCACATCTTCTTCCCTCACGCTCCAGAACAGTGGTTTTCTTTCTTACCCCCTTTTTCTACTTCTTTCTCTGTGTCCAATCCTTTTTTGCTTGCAACATCAATGTCCAACCCTCTCAGAAATGTGGTCCCCTCCCGCCATCTCGAGGAACGCAAAATCAAGGGTGATGATTTTGCGGCCCTCCCCTGTTAAAGGACTACCGTCACGCTACGAATGACATCAAGGGTAAAACCGTCATTGTCTCGTAAAGAACGAGCGTCTCGCAGACAATAACAGACAATGCCATCGCATAGGACCGATCTTCAGTTTACATTCGAAACTGCTCAATCAATGCCTAGTGGTTCACTAATCTTTGCTGCTTCCCGAAATCCCTGCTACAAAAGCTTTGTGGACGTCTAATCTTTTCCCCTTTTTTTCTAGATGAAGTCCAAAGAATATAATTCTAGTTAAAGGTTTGCAAAAGAATCTTATTAGTGGGAAACATACTTTAGTTGTTAAAATGAGTTTGTAAGCCACTTAATAAACAATGTTGGGTCAGTTTATGCGCCAATTTTCACAACTTATTCAATAAAATAATACAGTGAATAGGAGTCTAAATGTGGACTGGAGAGCTAATAATGGTTCTTGGTAGCTTGCTTTTTTCCATGGAATGTTGGTGCATTCCCTTTAGAAGGGAAACTATCAAGTGATGCAGCTTGGAAGATTTTTCCCAGTTGCCACCGCGTTTGCTTGACTTTGAAATTTCTTTGTAGCTAAAATTCACAAAGTCTCCCAACAAGTTCCATTTAAAGGTGGAACGCCCACCCCGGGTGTCGCCACATCCCGACCCGACAAGATACTGAGGGAATAAATCATGGTATAATCTTAATATGATCTTTAGAGAGGTTGCTACGTGCCCGGTGAGCACAAGGAGCTATTACAACGAATAAAACAGTTATATTGTCGCTGCCGGGATTTGACCACAGGATCTATGGGCTTGACATCCTTTTCTTGAACTAGTTGAGCTGTCAATGCATGCATAATAAGTTCCATTAAAAAAAAGTATGGTGCGGAAAAAAAGTATAATACTCAGTATATGGTGGAACGCCTACCCCGGGTGCCTCACACTCCGACCCGACAGAATTGTGAGAGGTAAATCACGGTATTAATTCAATGTGATCCTTAGAGAGACTGTGTCGTGTCTGGTGCGCACAAAGAGCTATTGCATATAATAGAATTCTCACACTGTCGCTGTTGGGATTCGACCTCAGGATCCACAAGTTTAACATCGGCTCCTTAAACTAGTTGAGCTACTCATTTGAGCATAATACTCCCTATACGAAGTGGTGATGGGAATGGTGCCGAAACCATTTTCCTTTTTTTTTAGTTCTTTTGTTTGCATACTTATTGCTTAAGTTCAATTTGGGAACAGTTTATTGCTATCTGCAGCGAAAGTACCATTTGACCGCAAAGTGTTGCTGGGTATGAAAAGTTTGGCTCTTGTTTTGTTGTCTACTTAGCCTACTAGGCACTAGCTACCCGAAGTACAAGTCATTAACATTAGGCTTGTGCCATTGGCACCCCAACCCTCACAACAAAAGATGACACCCCATTCTTGAAGCCCCTCAACACCGGCCGAACAAGTAGACGAGAAGAGATAAATTGAATTATAATCTCAGTTAATTGACGTAAGGGTGGAATTTCGCGTCTGGTACTTGCAGAAGCCTTATACTTTGCATGGTTGCTTCTCATCGCAGTCACCAGGCTTTGAACTCGGGATCTCTTTCTTATAGCATCCATATTTCAACCGTTGAGCTACGCCTCACCGGTGCACCCAAACCCTCACAACAAAAGATGACACCCCATCCTTGAAGCCCCTCAACACCGGTCGTACAAGTAGACCGAAAAGAGATACTCCCTCCGTCCCAAAATATAAGTAACATTACGCTAAACGAAGTAATTTTTTGAATTTTTTTAATTCATTTTATTTAAAGAATGGTTTACAAATAAAAAATAAAACTTACATATTTAAAAACTACGTCAAAAGTTCTACAAAACAAATGATGACAAAAATATTTTATTCTATCAAATAATCAATGAAAATGCATAAATAAATAAAAGTTCCCGTGATTTTTAAATAGTGGAGTGTTACTTATATTTTGGGACGGAGGGAGTAAATTGAGTTATAATCTCAGTCAATTGGCGTAAGAGTGGAATTCCGCGTCTGGTACTTGCAGAAGCCTCATACTTTGCATGGTTGCTTCTCATCACAGTCACCAGGCTTGGAACTTGGGATCTCTTTTGTAGCATCCATATTTCAACCACTGAGCTACGTCTCACCGGTGCACCCAAACCCTCACACTAATAGTGAGTAGAATTCGTTAAAAATCTTTATAAAAGGCTTTGCAGCTAGGGTTGTTCGCCAGTCTAAGAACGGACCGAACCGCACAATCCTGGACCGAACAGAAGATCAAATTGGATAAAATTACGGATCGAAGACTGGCCTAAATTTATTTGGGTTTGGCCCGTACCAGACCGAAATACTTAGGACTGTACCGGTCCGGACCAACTGAACCGAATAAAAATACATTTTTTAATTATTTTGATCAATTAATTATATTTTAGACTTTTTTACTTTGTATCGTGCAAATAGAAAAAAGGCAACCTAAAAATAGATACACAATATAAACTACTTCTCTGTAGAATCATAAAAATTAATGTGAAATATTTTTTAAAAAAATTACTTAAAAAAACCTTTTTAATTAAATAAATTATGATATCTATTAAAATAGAGCATCAAAGTGTAATATAAACTTAAAAGGTAGAGTTTTAATATTTAGGTCTTTTAGGTCCAGTTGGGTTAGTAGGTCCAACTGCTCCGAAGCTAAATCATTTAGGGTTTGGACTGGACCAGACCGAAATCCAAACACCTAAATTTCCTAGACCGAAGGCCGACCCGAAATCTATTTGGTTCGGATTCGGTCTGGACGTAACGGTCTGATTCGGTCAATTTTTTTTGACATGTGAACAATCCTATTTGCAGCAACAAAATAACAACAAGAATAATAATGATAATAATAATAATAATAACAATAATGGATTTTAGCCCATCGGTTATGGAGGCACGAATAACAATAAGAAGTAAATAAAGAACTCTCAAAATATGATCTCAGTAATGCTTGTATTAGCTTGACTCAATTTGTGATACAAATGAGGTTTACACTTTATTTATAGTTTACACAGTACGCTATTCATGACCATTAATCGTTATCCTGGTTTAGTTTTCCGTCACAATTCATTTGGCTGGCGCCTATTATCGACAGAGAATTAGTCATCAATCTCCCACGATCGATGGGATTGACACACTTTAAATACCTGATCGAACCCAAGCCTCATAGTACCCCACCCTTGGCCCATATCGCATAAACAATTGAGTGGATTAATAAAAGAGACATGTTGGGCTGATTCTATATTCTCGAATCTCGCTGGCCCAATATCCAAATAATAATAAATTAAGGCCAAAGGCCTTATAGTCCAATGACACCGCTATAACTGTTCAAATGAGATGTCATATGTTTGATCCCCGATGGAAGCAAATAACTCGACGAGTTTCAATTAAAGGTGGCAATCGGGTCAACCGGATCATTTTCGGGTTGGACTTTTTCGGTTCGGATATCTTTCGGTTATATGTTATAATCGGTTCAGTTCGGATCGGATCGGTTAAATTTCGGTTCGAATTTAATTCGATTCTATACATTTTTTGGTTCGGTTCGGTTTCGAGTTGGTTCATATACGGTTCGGTTATAAATTGGTTCGGATACAATTTGAGTCGGATATATTTCGGTTTCAGGTCTAATTCGGTTTTGGATCAAATATATTTTGGATATATATTATTTTCTAATTAAAATTTAACTATCCCTGTTTCTTTTTATGTTTTATCACATTTATCAATCTATCATCAATTCAATACCTCATATTATTTTATATTTTTTTCTAATTATATTATCTCTATCCTAAATAATCTTCCTTTTTGACTTTTTAGTCATATTTTACAAATTTGGACTACAAATTATGAAAACATATATATTTAATTATGATATAAATTTAATATAATTAAATTGATTTTAAAATTTAGTTTTGAAATATCAATTTTTTCTCACATCTACTAATATATTTATGTTTATAAATGAAAAGATAAAAGATAAATTCAAATAGTGTTATGTTCCATTTGAATATAATTTGGTAAAAATTGAGTAAAATTGGGTGAAATTAAGTGAATTTTGTTCAATTGAGTGCAAAATTTATAAATTATTGAGTGTATTTAGTTGAAAATAGATAAAATTAAACTTAATAGAGTCAAATATAATTAATTTTACACCTAAATGTAATGGTCTAGATCAAATTTGAAAATAATAATACTAAATTCTGCTGCTAAAGAGTCTTTTCAAAATGTTAACACTAGCATCTAATTTTATTGACTAATATTGAGTGAATTGGTTTGAAACTAATCAAATCAACTATCAAATCAATAAAATTTATTGTAATGTGATGAAATTAGGATAAAATCTAGTTATTCCGTACTTTTCAATTTTGTCCCTGATATGATGGGTAAAAGTAAGATGTGATAGTTTGGTTATTAGTGAAAAAGTATGATGTTATAGGTAGGGTATGAAAAAGTATGGACAAAAGTGGTTTTTTAATAGAAAGTGTAAGTGTTTTAGTAAATTGGAAAAAAATGAAAGATGAAGGGTTTATGGAACGGAGGAAGTATTATAATAGAATTATTAGTATTAATAATAATAATAATAATATACTTAAAAGTCAATAGTCCACAATGACAAGAGAATAGTGCCAATAAAGAGTCAGATCTATCCGTACGTATTTACTCTAGTAGCAGTGATTCATTGCAAAAGAGAGAGCTAAGGCTGTGTTATCATGAGCTTGATAAGACTTGACCACCGCCATGTAGGCCTCCCATGTGACATTGACCTTAAGATCATATAAGAACAACTCATATTTCTAATAAAAGCAATTAGTTTACGTATTTTTTAGTTCAATCAAGTCTTCTCTATACTTTCTCTTTTGTATATTGCCTTGAATGCTTTGTGATGATATCAAATTTTTCTTTACATGACATGAGAGTATATTCTTGAAATGTTAATGCAGACTTGTGTTTAAAAAAAATTACGAAGTGTAAGACGAATTTGTTTAGGTAGTGTTTGGCAACTAGCATTTCATTTCAATTCATGCATTTCAATTCCAAAATTTAAAATCTTGAAATTCAAATGACAAGAGGAGGAGCATGGATTTGAAATTAAGCTTTGTTTTGAATGAGAAGAATTTGACTTAAATCTAAATTCAAATTTTTTAAATTTCCCAAACATGTGATTTGAGCTAAATCCGGATTTGAAATCCAAATTCATGTTTCCAAACATACCATTAAATTATTTGCTTTAACAAAAAATATAGAGAAAAAGTTGTTAATTTTTACTGACAAAATATATTTAAAAAAAAATACTCCTTCCATCCATAAGCTAAAGGTAAGTCCGCCCATGTTAAGCCCTTTAAAGTAGTATCTATCATTCAAATGATTCAATAGTTGTTATATGCAAACTATACTCTTTCAAAGCTCATACAACTTGGCCACAAAATATTCTTTAGTTCTAAAAAAGGCCACCAGCTCGGGCCATCAATATTATTGAAGTTTGGCAGGCCCAAAATGTGAAGCAAACCTCTTGACATTAATACGGAGTAGTAGGAAAAAAGCGTAGTACATCACTCGTATACCAAGGATAGTTTTTATAATTGGACCGGTCCCGCGAAATATATATATGTATATATATATATATATATATATGGGCTGAATCAGGTGAGAATGCACCTTGGTGAAAGAAATAAGAATAAAATCTAGCCTTTGGATCTGATGCATTGTGCGGCTCAGATTGTATCCTGCACTCAGATTTTGTGATAGTGCATTTTCAAAGGTTTTTGGTGCATTTGGACATCATGCATTTTCAAACCATTTTGGTGCAATCCTAACCCTTAGATCTTACAATCTAAAGCACGAGATTCATTCTTATTTCTTTCATAAGATCACATTCTCACTTGAACCTATATATATATATATATATATATATATATATATATATATATATATATATATATATATATATATATATATATATATATATATATATATATATATATATATGTATGTATGTATGTATGTATGTATGTATGTATGTATGTATGTATGTATGTATGTATGTATGTATGTATGTATGTATGTGTATATGTGTGTGTGTGTGTGTGTGTATACATACATATAAGGCCCATAGAGAGTATAAAAGTGATTGAAAAGATAGAGTCTCTTAGGGTATGAAAAAAAGGAGAATATAACTTTACCTTTAGAACGCTTGAAATAGAAAGTTTGACAATACTTATAGGACAAAGGGAGTGTTAGCGTTCAACATTAATTCCTTTAGTGAGATTCAGGTGACACTCACTTTGAGCTTCATTTAGTGACATAAGCCTCTTAATTACTCTTATTGAAACGTAGAAGTACTATCTATCTCTAATAATTGTGTATATTGAAATATTGAGCTCCCCTTAGAGCATGAACAATGGTGAGGCAAAAATGGAATGTCACACGCTGACGTGGAGCATTTCAACCAATAAAAAACTGTCCAGTCAACGAGTGGCACGTGAGTGGAGTGGCATGCCTTGCAGTGGCAAGTCATTGTTTTCATCATTTTTTTTCATATTTTTTCCATATTTGAATTATTAAAAATTATATTACCTATATATTTTTATCATGAAAATATTTTACGTAAATAGCACTAAAACATAATGACTTTCCCTAAATAGCATCAAATGTACTCTCTCCGTTCTATAAAAGTGTTCCTATTTTGACTTTGTGTAAAAATAAGGAAGTGTTAAATTGTAGTTGACTTCCAAATTTGCCCTTGATGTGATGGATAAAAGTAAGATGTGATGGATTGAGTATTAGAGAAAAAAGTATGATGTGATACGTAGGGTATGAAAAAGTAAGGGTAAAAGTGGTTTTATAATAGAAAGTGGAAGTGTTTTGTTGGAAGTAAAAAAAATGAAAGAGGAAGAGTTTTTGAGAACAGAGGAAATATTTTTTTTTTCAATGTTGCAGTTTTAGTCATTATTCAATTAAATGTTCGTCATCACTGGACATTATGCACATTATTAAGTGGTATTTAGAAAATAAAACAATATAAGTATTATTAAGGAAAATGACTTAAATTTTAGTGCTATTTAGTGTAAATATTTTTATGGGAATAATTCAATCAATCAAAAATAGTCCAGTACAAGAAAGTAGATTGACATGTTATGGAGTGACAAATCACTTTTTTGTCACTTTTTACATTTTTATGACATATTTTAATTATTAAAAATTATTTTAATTTTCTTTTTTTCATAAAAGTACATGTATTCTGTTTTTAAAAAATTTGCATCTTTTTTGTGCAAAAAAGAAAAATAGAATAAATAATAAAAAAGGATTGCCTCGCTCATTACACGCAATGTGTGGTGGAATTCTGTTGCCATGCTTGGCATCCTTGGTTTGCAGCTGATGTGGCAGTGCGAGGGAGCCAACCTCCACGCCACTAGAGATGCTCTTATATCTTGAGTCCAAGGGTTGTAGTCATTCAAGTGTTCTTATTATGGGCCGACAAGGCTAAGAATCATAGTTTTAAAACCCAGACAAGATTGATTGACCGGAAATAAAGGCGATTCAGTTCTGAAAACTATGCCAAGAGCTTTGTACTTGATTCATGAGCTTTAGTTCTTATTTGACTAATGTTAGAGTGGCTTCTTATTATTTTTGGATAATCCAAACATGGTTTTAGCTGTCACACATGCACCTCATGAGTCACGATCAAAGATTCTCCATCTATTAATTTGCTTCATTTATTTAGTCAAGTAAAGCATATTGTATGCCCTATTATTGCATACCTTTTCTTTTAAATTAAATATGTGGGCCAAAATGTACATTATTGTTGCTACATTTTAGTGTACCTTAAATTTGGGTCTTTATTGCCTTCACACCTTGCCTAAAGAAAAGTCCTAGCTTGTTAACTTGACTACTTTTCCTTGTCTCCCATCTTACCATGAAATTTATGCATATTTCAATGTAATTTCTTATGCTTGTCAATTAACCATTTCCCCAAGGAATAATATTTATGGGAAATCCCACTAAAAACAAATACTCCCACATTCTTATGAGTAATTGTTGGCTATGATTTTATTGGTTCATTAAGAATCAAACAAATGTAGACATTATATTTGTTTGCATCCACTCAAAAGTTAATTTAGTTATCTTAAAAGTCACAACAGATAATAATTTAAGCATGACGGGAGTAAGCACAACTAAATTAATCAAAATATTTAGACATCACAAAGAGAGAGATTGATACAAAACTCTATTTGAAAACAATGTTAGACCGTTGTCATTCACATATATCAACATTGACAAATTCAATGGTATATAACATTGTTACTCATTTTTAAAATGTATTGTATTACCTTGCTAAATTCTCACTTGTATTTAAGAACACTTCTAATACCCATGTCGTCTCAAGATAAATATAGACTTTCTTCTTGTGTTTGTCCCAAATTGAGCTTCGTAGTTTTCTTGTTTCCTGAATTGCATGTGTCACTCAAATCATTTTTCTGTATTTAAAAGAAATTTCAATTATGCTCTCCACTTTTCAAGCTTAGTGTTGAAAGTGAGTTAAATCAGTCCAGGAAGTTTATTTTAAGTAAAGTTCTACAACTTTGTTCATCCTAAAATCTCCTTTACAATTGATTTTTTCTGGGTCTATCTTTACAAATTTTGATGCGTGATTTGTGTAAAAACTATATTTAGTTATAATATAAATCTAGGGTAATAGAATTAATGTTTGAAATGTAATTCTAATATATCAGGTTATAATAGTAATATTTATTTATTTAGGTACAAATATATATAGTACTTCGTAGTTATTAGTAGTCAAAGTACTGCATTACTTACCATAAAAAGTCAAATATAACATTTCTTTTTGGAACATAAAGAATACAAAACTAAGGACCTCAAGGTAAATTAGAGAGTACATATGGCAAAAATAAGGTGATTAATTAATAGCTAGGAAAGAAGGAATAGATCTATCATCATATACTATCCTTCAGTTTCAAATTAATCATCCTCTTTGTTTTTTTCACGTTGTTTAAAAAATAAAATTGTTTGGTTAAGATTTATTAAGAGGAAGAAGAATCAAAATGGATAACATATTCCATCTCTTTCAAATAAACGTGAAAGTACAATTGAAGAGGTGGGGGTGTGTTCGGATTGTGACAGAGTGGGGGGTTCACGAGATAGTTAAGGGCATAGAAACCGTAAATTTTAAAAATAGGATCCCGTAGCGATTTCTGGTCATTCCAATGTCATGGGAACCGTCTTGTTCAAAAAAATTAAGAAAATAAATTTGGGAGGGAGTAAAATATAGGGAGTATATTATGATTATAATTAAAGAGAGTATTTTATTATATCATACTCGGTAATTCATAGAGCAATTGGTGGGGCAGGGAAGGAAATAAACAAAAAAAATAAAGAAGGAAAAAAAAGGAAGAAGAAGAAATTAAGAATCGGAGTCGCGGTGCTTATTCCAATGGAGCAGCATACCGATGCATCTTTTGACAATGTAGAATTTGGCCTTCTGTTCCTTGGCCATGTTGCTGCATTTCCGTGTGAAGTTGTTGCCGCCGCCGCCGGCGGCGGTCCTCTGGGAGCTGCTCCTCCGCATGCTGGCGGCGCCGCTCTTCTTCTGCGACAGGCCCGACGACGAGCACGAGCGCGTGCAAGGGTCATTCTTGCTCAACTTCCATTTCGCCTCTTCCATTTTCTATTTTACTATATAATTACCCTCCTCTGATCTCCTAATTAATACTGTAATTAATTAATTAATTACAGTGGCCCCTGATCTCGAGTGAGTTGATGAATGAGGCGGCCGCCGGCCGGCAAGTAGTGACCACCGGAGCTCAGCTTTTTTTTACTATATATATACGGAGTAATAATAGTCAAGGATATAGGGAGTATAGTTTAGTTTGATGTGGAGAGTGTGCAAAGGTGGGAGAGGTGTCAGGTTCTATTTATAGCAAATTTCATGATATACTCCCCTCCCATTCAAAGATTCCATATTCCACACTAACCCCCCCCACCCCCCCCCCCCCCTCTCAAAACACTTTTGCTATTAAAAAATCATAAAAATTTTTGTTTCACCCTGCATTTTTATTGAAAAATTCATAATATAAAGTATTCTTGTCAGCTCTTATTTTATAAAACTTTTTACGTAGTTTTTGAAATATGTAAGTTTTAATTTGATTTATATATTAATCTTTAAATAAAATGAATTTCAAAAATTTAAAATTTTGCTTTGTTTTATGTAAAATGTAAAACGTATTGGGACGAATGAAGTAAAACAATGAGATTCGGTTCTTTTGACATTTGTTACTACTCAATCCTAAATAATATCATATAAAGTATTATAGTACTCCTTCCGTCCCTAAATAGTTTATAAATTGCGGGTTACGGGGTAAAATTTCATACTTTTTAAAATTATTTTATTTACAAATTGGTATATCAATAAGATATAAAAATTATATATTAAAAAACTACGTCAAAAGTTCTACAAAACAAGAGGTGACAAGAATATTTTATTTTATCAAATACTTAATGAAATCGCGTGAACAAACAAAAGTTATCGAGAGGAGAGAGAAAAAAATTGTAATCAATTTGGGGACGGAGAGAGTATTTGATACTTGAATGCTTCATTTGTAAAAATAATGGTTCTCATCTCCTGACCCCTCTACATCCCCTACCCAAACTCGTTCTCCTCCAAACTATCAAACATGATCACTTGTCTGGGTATCCGGCCCGCTTCCAAATACTTGCTTGTAAAATAACGGGTTTAGCTTCACATTTTAGAGTACGGGTCAGACTCAAGCTTTGTGAACAACGACTCATGTACTTTAGGGCATGGCTTGGCTTTAATTTTATGCTCAAGCTCAAGGGCAGGCCCCACCTGAAAAATATCAATATTTATCATTTTAATAATTATAACAAAATAAAAACAAAAACAACAATAATGACACTACTAATTCAAATTCTATAAAAAAAACATACATACTTCTATGTAAAAAGGAGAAAATTATAAGTATATTTAATAAAATGAAACATCTTTATTATTGCATATTATTTAAGTTACTCATTATCAATGTTAATGTTCAAGCCCACGGGCTAACCCGGCCCGAATGAATATTAATATAGATTATTTCTATAATTAAATTCAAATAATCGAAAATAATAACAATAACAATAACAATAATAATAATAATAGCAGCAGCAGTAGTGATAATAATAATAATGTAAGGTGAACTCTAAAGTAATGTTGACTTTCAAAAATTTCCTTTGATGTAATGTGATTAAAATATAATAAAAATGGATGTATTGAAAAGAGTAGAGGGGGTGGATTGAAATACTTTATAAGAGAGCGTGTAAAATTGATAGAAGGGGTAGAAAAAGTGGTTGAACATGTAGGGATTTTTTTGTATTTTTAGTGAGTTGATTTTGCAAAATATGAAAGTATATCTTTAATTTTGAAGTATCTAACTTGGAAAGTGTGCAAGGTAAATAGAGTATGTGCCAAAAAAGGAAATGAGTTGATGATGATATACTCCGTAATATTTAGTGGGTGTAAACGGATAATAATTGGATCAGATGTGCTATTACCAAATTCGTATCCGTTTATTTTTGTCGGATATCGAATTCGGATACAGATCTTGATGTATACTTAAAATCAAAACCGTATCTGCATCGATCGGATATCGGATATATCCGTATCCGTTTCCAATTTTTAAAATCGATTTAAAGAATACTTCAATTTTAAATTAGATTAAATTCAAACTATTATTAAATCAAATATAATTTGTTATGTGATAATTATTTTCTTTGTTTTCATGATTTATGATATTCTACGATAACTTCATATGATACAAAAGATATACACAGCACACATATACGCATATATTTATATGTCTGTACATATTTTATGTGTTTACACATTTATTTTGTATATAAAAAAGTCTTATATTTTGAAATATCAAAATATAAACATAAAAAATTAGGAAAAACTATATATAACAGATCGGATATTTGGATAAATGGTTATTTAAACGGATGCATATTTAAATCGAATTTTAAACGGATCGGATATACAATTACCAAATCCGTATCCGTTTTGTAAACGGATATCCTTAATTGGATACGGATAATATCCGTTTAAACGGATGCAGATATTTCTTCCTATGTAAACGAATACGGATGCGGACGCCGGACGGTAATCAAATTTTTGGCTATCTGTTAACAGCCCTAATAATAATATTATAAAGTGACAAGTGAGAAATAGTCACTTCTTCTTTGTTACTTATTTTTTGTTTTTTCTCCACATAGCAAAAATAGTTGATACATTCATATGATCACACCTGAACACATAATAAGTATAGAGTATAGTTTTTTGTTATGAAAATCCTTTTAAGATATGAAGATGTAGTAGAAGCCAATCTTTAAACACAACATTCACCAAAAGCCAAAAATTTAAATTAAAGAATAATCCACTTCATGAGCTTCCCTTTTAAAAAGTATCACACATCAATAACTTTTAGAAAGCATAAAGAGTTTATAAAGTTTTAAATTGAATTAACTAATCTTTTAGTGTGATTCTACATATGTATCTAATGATTCAGACTAATGATCTATACCTTACTCTATATTCTATATATAATAGTACTAGAGAAGATTTTGAAGCGTCTCGTTTGTCAAGATACCCATCTAAAAGTTGGCGTTGTATTTCCAAATATTGAAGTGACGCTAGGTAGCTCCACCTGGCCACAGAGCACCCCACGGATGCAACTAGACGTAATTGATCCGAGTCCAAACGGTGGGTACCTCCTGTGTCGAGCCGAGTCCAATGGTCAGACTAAATAATATTTTAAAAGTATTTAATATAATAAATCTAATAAAACTATTTTTGTATCAATATCTAATATCTTTTTTTATTTAATTTCGTATCAAAATTTACTAATTTTGATTTAAAAAAAAAGTAAAAAATAGACAAATATCAGGGACGGAGGGAGTACGTGATATAAATTTGAATTACACTCATATGATTTTTCATCTAAGAGTACGTTTTCTTAAAATACAATAAGTTTATTATACTCCCTCCGGTCCTAAAAACATGAGAATTATTGATTTTTAATAGATTTAAGGAAGTGTATTTTGGTATTGAATTTCCAAAATTTTTTTTTAATGTGATGGATAAAAGTGGGATTAGATGAGTAGATTATTAGTAAAAAGGTATGATGTGATAGATTGATAGGTAGGGTATGAAAAAGTAAGGGGTGAAATTGACTTCTTAATAGAAATAAAAAGTTTTTTTGGAACGGAGTAAAAATGAAAAGAGAAAGGTTTTCCGGAGGGAGTGCTCTGTTATATATTTATCAAATAAAACAGCTTTCTTTTGATATCCTGAAAATTATACTGAAAACTGGACATGGAGTAATTACTGATTAAAACTAGGATACTACTAACATTGGCTTTAAACTTTGCAAAGAATCCGTATCGGCCGGCGGGCGGGCGGCCGGTCATTTGCCGACGGTGATATAAACATCAGAATTACTGTAATAAATAGTATGGGACAGCAGGAAGGTGTTGACGAGTGTTTCTTTGGATGCGCTCTCTGCTTTTACACATCACATGCTCCCCTCTGACACTCTGACACCAACCATTCAACTGTCTCTCTTCTTTTTTCTACTACTCCATACTCTTTTTTTATTTGACTGTTTTTGATACTTCCTTTTTTCGTAAAATTTTCTATTTTTTAAAATCATTTTATTTATAAATTGGTATATCAATAAGAATATAAAAATTACATATTGAAAAATTAAGTCAAAAGTTCTACAAAACAAAGGTGACAAGAATATTTTTTTTTATCAAATACTTAATAAAATCGCGTAAACAAACAAAAGTTATGGAAAGGATGGAGAAAAAAATTGTAATCTATTTGGGAACGGAGGGAATATTTTGAAATTTTGGTAAGGAAAATTTTATTTGCACTCCATTTTTTTATCTTATTTTGTACTCCGTGTTTCAAGGATGTGCCTGACATAAAATGTAAGTATAAAACTAGTACTTTGTATTATGCTAGTGTTGCACTCACATTTTATGTTAGGGTGAATCGTTTGGATACAAAATAAGTTACAAAGTGGGGTGAGAGTAGCACAACCCTTTTGGTAAACTCCATGCTTAGTGGGTGTTTTTTTGTGCTAGTACTCATTGACCTATTATTTATAAATAGTTTTAAATTTATAACTTGTTTATAAATTAAAAATTATTCATGTAGATAATAGGCAAGGGATATTTTTGAGTAATCTATTTAAAATAGAGAAACGAAAAAACTAGCTTAAAAATAAATAGGAAAGATCTATTTATTTTTTTGACTTATAAGTAATTTATGAGTCAGCTAATAATTTCAAAAAAATATGTCATCAGCTGATTTATAAAATAAAAACAACTTATGAGTAGTATGGGAAACACTCACTTAGGGCACTCGTAATACTCCTCACGCCTACCAGCGTCATGGAGCTTTTCACGCCCTGGGTGCGTTAAACACCGCCTCCCGGTGGCGTTACCCAAGCGTGATGGAGCCTAATGACGATGGTGATTCCCCTCCCCGTCCTCCCCCTAACGGCTATTAGAGCCGTTGAAAACAAAAAAAAAAGAAAGAAAGAAGCCAACAACTCAACAATCCCGACGGCGGATTGTCAAAGAAAAGATCCTCCGTCGATGCCGAGTTTGAGGTCGACGACACTATCGGTTCGTTTGAAGAAATGCCTCCCTTCAACGTTGTAGATTCTGATGACGAGGACCCCATTCCACGGCCGATCGGAAGAAAGAAGGCAAAATCCATTGCCTCGGGCTCGGGAGGGTCCGACTCTGTTTCTGTTTCTTCTCGCGACGAAATCGGTCGGTCAATGATTGAACAACTTCGGGTGTTCAATCTTCGAG